GGTGTTTGAATGTCTCCACAGATTGGGACATAATAATCGCCTCGGGAAGGTTTTTCCACGGGTCCACGACCCGATTAGAGTTATCGTCCAAACACAAGTTGTGAACGACCGGCGAGATAGTTCTCGCTCCACGTAAGAAGTTAGCCTCCGATGCCTATCACTCGCAGCTTGTTCAGCAGTCTTTGATGTGGAACACTATCAAAGACCTTCCGGAAAACAATGTGGGCCGAATGTACGGTGTCTTTTGCATTGAATGTCTTTGTCCAGTTTTGCAACGTATAAAGTAAGCTTGTAACGCATGACCTACCCCTACGAAAGCTATATTGGACATTGGACAAGAGATTGGGGCTTTCACAATGTCATCAATTCCTTCTTGATTATGTTCTCCATTATCTTGCAGCATATGAATGTCAGATTTACCAGTCTGTAGTTGTTCGCAAGTGCACGACTACCGCTTTTGTAAGACGGTGTAATGTGGGCTGTCTTCCAATCTGGGAAAGACTTCCAGTATCGAGTGATTGCTGGCACATAATTGACAACTATTTAACCAGCTTTCCAGCAAGTTTTTGGTAGACCTTAACGCCACTATTGACTTATCACGCCAACGTTGCGGTTACGCTGACGGCTGGCCCCTGGCCTGTCTATCGCTCAAGGTCTGAGCGACTTATGAACACACCCAGTCTCGCCTGTGCCCACTTTGCGCTGTGCAACCAATCACCACCAGTCTGCCGAGACAAAGCGAGTATTCGGCGACCGCCCGGGATAACTGCCGTTAGAAGACACTTGGGATTCCATCTTAGCGCGTCGCGGTTGGCGGCGCCAATCTGTCACCCGGGCCTCACGGTCGGACGCCATGCAAGACCTATTGGCCACTTTCTCCTAACTGTTGTGTACGCAATATATTCTTCCTTCTACTCTGCCTTCCCAAGACTTCTCCTGTCTCCTAAGTAACCGGGCCTGGAAGATTGTAGCTGTAGGGGTTAACCGTCTTAGCCTTAACTCCTATAAGTTAATGGAACAGTTTTGTTGGGGTCACATCTGGACCGGGAGACATTAATTCAAACGCTTTAGTTCTTTAAAAATAGCTTCTTCTCCGTACGGAATGTCCGAAATATTTGGCGCTCTCGCGATCTCGTCACTCGATGTGATGAAGACAATTACTCTGCTGAAAACTGACACAAAGAACCCTGAAAAGGTTCGGCTTCCTTTGTACAGTCCAGACCTTCGTATTTTTCATAAGAGGAGTTCGCTTCCTGTGATGTGTGCTTTTTCTTAAGTAGCTGTAGAGCAACTTGGGTTTTTTGACCGTCCGGTGTAGCAAAACACTCTCAAAATTCCACCGTCTTTGGAAAACTAATATTTTTCCCATGTTCTGTCGGATTTTATATCCTTTTAAAGCTTCTGGCCAGAACGCGTAGGCAGGTGGAGGCATGTGCCTCAGTTAGCAGCAGTCAGCATTCCCGCGTGGGCGTCCACACGGAAATAGTTACAAGAGATTATTGAAATGATAAAAAAAAAATGCGTTTGTTAGTGCACAATTAATGGAACGGGATTATTCAGAGGAATAACTGAAACTATGGAATTTTTCGGACTTAAGTCGTAAGAGGTTACTTAAGCTAAGAGAAGGCAGCATCCAATTAGATGCAATTTAATTGACCCGGCAGAATTGATTTCAGCGGCCCTAAAAGCCCGTTGACTTATAATAAAAAACAGCTTTTAAATGTTCGAAAGCCGACTTTACATTTTTTCGTTAAATTCCACCAATAGGAACACGAATTTCCATTTTCTTTAAATCCCGTCTACGTCAGGTCGAATTCCTCTCGGTTGGCATTCGTAACCTGCGCAACAGAAGTTTATTTTGATCAATTTTTTTCTATTTCAGCATATAAAAACAGACATAATCTTATTCAATTTAATATTTTGGTCCCTTCCGCCACAATTACATATTATTTTACGCTCACTAATCAATAATTAAATGTTTGAACACAAGATACGTAAAGCAGATTGGCGGGGGGATAGCTATCTCCAGGGGGCCTACAAATCAATTTTGCCGTTGACCCAATGGTGAAAAAACTCGTGGCTTGGGCGGGAGTCGAACCTACACATTAGGGAAGGCTTTTGCGCAGCCAACGCTTTACAAATGACTTATGAGGCACGCCCTGAGTCATGAACTTAATCACACTTTGATCGATTTTACCCGCCCAACTTACCGCTCGCATGAAATCGTATGGAATCGATCCAAGTGTGATTAAATTCGCGGCGCACGACGTGCCTCGTAGCTCAGTTGTAGAGCGTTGGCTGCACAAAAGCCTGCCCTACTGTGTGAGTTCGACCGCCGCCGAGGCCACGAGTTTTTTTACAATTGGTCCAAATAAATTAAGCAAATCTGCCAAAATCCTCTAACGATTAGATGGAACTCCACCGTTTTTATTTTACTTCGGAGTTAGGTTTGGTTTTTGAATCATGTCTCTCTTGCGGCATACTTCGTATAATTAAGATAGTAAAATTGGGGGACTCCGTTGAAATGTCGAGGCTGTCGAT